AAACCCGCCCCTCGGCCAACCCACCCCGCCCGAAGCCAGCCACAGGGAGGAACGGAGGCGAGTCCAGCGGGCAGCGGTCGGCACGGCGTGGCGCCGCCGCCGGGGCCGCATCGCCCTCGTGATGCCGCGCAGCGGGAGGCCGACGGCGCTGCCGCCGCGAGTCTCCCGCGCGTCGAGGTCCATGCCCAGGAAAGGAAACACGCACAAACACAGGCACAAACACGCACAGACACAGACACAGGCACATACACATACACATACGCATATACCCATTCCCATTCCCACTCCCATTCCCATACCACTACACATACACATACACATACACATAAACATACACATACACATACACATACATTCAGTTAAAGCGTCGCACATTTGCTCGAGGCCCCGCCGCTGCGGCGCGACGTCGCTGCAGGCGCCAGCGGGCAGCGCCGTGTCTTCGCTTCGTCCCCCTTGCGCGCGCTGGGGGCCTCTGGCCTGACTGCTTCTGGCCCCCCCCGTGCGGGAGCGCGCCTCATGCGCGTGGTGAGCTACCACCCGCTCACGCTCACGCGCAAGCTTCTGGCGGAGGAGGTCAGTCACGAGCTGGAGCGCACGGAGGTGGTGGCCCTGCACGGCACGGCGGTGCGGTGGCAGCAGGGGGCGGACGTCACTCGCCAGTCCCTTCCTCACCACGATGCTGTGCATTGGGGGTGGGGGCGGGGTGCCTGCTCAAACAAGGCTTGCGGCGTTTGCCTTATGCTGAAGAAAGGGTTAAAGATGCTGCAGCTGTTCACCCCACCTTGTGGCCGAGCGGGGGGCGCCAGGATTCGGCGCGGGACGCTCGACTTGCTGGTGCCTGTCCTGTATTTCCCCGTGCGTGGTCTCCGGCACCACCAGGCCGCCACCGACCCCATCATCACCTGGACGGAACGGTGTCTTATGGGAGCCCCCGTCCGCACGACGCCGCTAGTTTGCGCGGGTTTGAACGATGGCTTGGGGCTCGTCAAGTCCGAGGCCAGGGTCTTCAAGCCGTCGTCGGACGCGATCGGCGACGTGGCGGCCGCGCTGGAGCATCACTCCGGCACCGCATGGTGGAGGCTATACGAGGACTGGCACCTGGCGACGGTGAGCACGTTTTGCGAGGGCTACATTTTCTGACGCCATCGCGATCCAGCAGGCCCTCATGCCGAACGCGTCCGACTGCAAACCGCTCGACTCCATGGGATACAGGCTCCAGGCGATCAGGGCTCGCGGGCGCCGTGACCACGCCCCTGCTTGTCTGTCATGGTTGTACCAGTGCATCCTGAGCTGCTGCCCAAGGCCCGGCGGGTGCAGTGGATTTTGACAAGTGCACGGTGGCGATGAGGCAGCACCAAGGCAAACTTGCTTTCCTCGAGACTCTGGAGTCCAAGTTCAGCCTGCTCCCCCCGAGGGCGCTCGAGGAGGAGGCCGTGCCCGACGAGGTGCGGGGCGATCTCGCGGGTACGGTGCGGGATGCGAGCCTAGAGCACTTTGGCCTCAAGCGGTATGACACGGAGGACATCGAGAGGGCGACCGCTGCTCGCAAGTGCCTGCTGATGGAGCGGGCCGCTATCCGCGCCACGCACGTCCTTGAGGGCGAGCGCGAGAGGGAGGGCAGAAATCACATCAGGCGCGAAAGAGAGCCCCAGGCCCAGGATGAGCAGGCGGATGCCCAGCTCACCCGACGTCAGGAGGAGCTGAAGGAAGTCACGGGGCGCCTGCGCACCCTCCAGCGACAGCAGAGGCGACGCCTACACAAGATGCGGAGCGATGCCCTGGCTGAGGCGGAACGTGTTAGCGATGATGCCACTATGTGGGGGATGGCCCACCTGCTGGGCGAGCGGTCGCGGTGGGTTCGGCGTCGGGTCTACGACGCGCCGAGGTTGGAGCGCGCGGCTGCAGCCTGGCGGCAGACGATGCAGAGCGTGGGGCGCAAGGGCGGCCATTCGGCCACGGAGCTGGATCAGCGGCCGCGCCGTCAACAGCTACGACAAGGACCTCTCCTTCGGCGCCTTCCCGTCGTGGAGGCCCAGGAGGCGGCCGACCGCGACTTAGCCGAACTTGGGGAACGGATGCGGAAGAAGATGCCGCCCCAGCGTGCTGCTCCGCCCTGGTCGGCGCTTGTTCCGACATGGCGGATGTGCCTAGCGCCGCAGATCGCTGTCGCCAGAGGCGAGGGCATCAGTTATCGAGTCGAGCCTCCGAGTATGCACATTCAGCCCCCGCGCTGATCCGCATGCGCTTCGCGGCGCCGCTGGCCTGGTCGCGGTCGCGAGCGGCGGACGTTTGCCGCGCCATTCACGGCGCGCGCGCTGTCGGCAAGGCGCGCGCGCGCCCAGGCCGGCGCGCGAGAAGGCCTCGACCCATGGACTTCGGCTTCGCCCCCAGGCGCTCGCACGAGGGGGCCCTCGTTGCGGCGGCGGCGGTGGCCGAGCGGGCTACTCGCTACGGGCTGGCGACGCTCGCGAGCTTCACGGGCCTCTGCAAGGATTTCCAGTGCCCGTCGCTGGAGGACATGGAGCAGGACCTCGACCAGATGCTTCTGGGTGAAGACGCTGACATCGTTGAGCAGAAGGTCGGCGCGGCCCATCGCCCCCCAGATGGTGCTCGACCTCAGGCTGGCGAAGTTCGCGGGCGATCTGCGCGAGCGGTTCGTCTCCTGGTGCCACAGAGCGGTCGTTACCAACCACGAGGCGCCCGACTCGCCGTTGGGCCGCGCGCCGGAGCCGAGGGGCCGCGCGCAGAACATCGCGAAGCAGCGCGCTATGCGCGCCTCCCGTGGAATTGGCGCTCGCGCCCAGACGCGGGCATTTCGCGGCAATAAGTTGGCGGTCAGGGGCAATTGTTCTGTGGTCGCACGGCATCTGGGGCCGATGCTGCGCTGCCAGGGGGCCAGGCGATGGAGTTGAAGGCGCGCGTCGCTGCGGCCACCAGGGGTGCCCTCGACATGGACCGCCTCTGGAGGTCCGAGGCCTCGGTTGAGACGGTCCGCCATGTCTTCCGATCTAAGGCGTCGGGGGCCCTGCTCTCCAGGACAACGACAACAGTGCCAGCGTCGTCGCGGTTGTCGACGCTACGCTGCGCGGCTATCCGACCGGGCCTGTCTGCGCAGGGGGCGAGGGCTACTCGCATTTATTTGGCGGAGGAGGGCTACCCGCGCAGGGCGATGCCCACCCAGGTCATCCGCCAGATGCCGCAGATGGCCGACGCTGAGCAGGGGGCTCGGGATGCGTCTCGGCTTCTCCACCCGCATGCTGCGCCGCCCCTTGGACCGCGAGATGGAGCTCGCGGCGTCGTTCGGCCAGCTGCTTGTCGTGCTGGAGGGGGCTCGTTTGACGGACGGGCGGCCGGGCCTTGTTGGGGCGCCCCCCATGGCCCAGTGCTTGGTGGGCGGCATGAGGGAACTGTCGGTTGGCTCCGAGCGGGAGGATTTGCTGGCGGAGTGGGAGATGCGCCCCGTGAGGCTGCTCGCCCCTGGCGCCCTTCGCGACGAAGTTTTGCGATTGGGCCCGCGGGTGTTGCGCGTGCAGGGCTGGGCTGCTCAGTTCCCCCGCGCGCGGGAGGTGGCGCCTGCAGTTGGGCGCCGCTGGTGGGCCCTGCGCGGCAGCGAATTCCGCCCTGATCGTGGGCCTCCAAGTTTCATCGCTATCGGGGGTTCTGATTTCTTTTGTCAGGAGCCGCGGGGCGAGGGGGTGCGCGGAGCTGTGTTTGATGCGGAACGCGCGCTGCTGCGTCGCAAGATCCGTCGTCATCGATATTTGGTCCGTGGAGGCTTCGCTCTGTTTCTCTAACCAGTGCGAACTATGTCTCAGCGTTCTTGCCTCCCGGGCTTCTGCCGCGCACCGTGCTCGGTTCGCTTGGTCTCGAGGCTATTGTCGACGCGGGCTAGCACTTGCGTCGCCGACGCTCGCCCTCGCTGAGATCGTCTGCCCTCTCTGCGGAGCTCGGTCTCGGACATTGCCATCGCACTGCGGCCGCGTCTTCGAGGGGCACTTCGTGGGCCGACGGCCTCAGCTTGCGCCCGCGCGATCTCCTGCGCCCCTCTGCGCCGGCATGGCGGTCGAGGCTCCCCGGCGGGCGCTCGCGCCGGCGGGGCCAGCGGGCGGCGCGGCTGCTCCGACGGCCGGCGGGCCTCCGGCCGAGCGGAGGGCGCGGCGGCGCCTCGGGGCGGAGCAGGGGGCAGGGGCGGGCGAGGACGGGCGAGGGCGCGGCCGGGGGGCGCGGCAAGTCGCAGCCCACGGCGAAGGGGGCGGCCAAGCGAGCGGCGCAGCGGTTGGGCGATTTCGAGGAGACCCCGAGGCCGCTCGCCTGCCTCGCCCTCGCCCACGACTTGCAGATCCGAGACCTCGAGTCGGCCACCAACCTCGCGATCAAGGTCCTGTTCGACCACCCAGTCGTCGAGGCCGCGAAGGGCGCGGGCAAGGCCTGCAGCGCCGCGCGCCGCGGCAAGAGCTCCGAGGTCCACCAGATGGGGCCGCCCACGCGTGCCGGGCGGGGGCGGCGGCGCGGGCCCTGGCCAAGTCCGTCGAGGTTCAGGGCTGCGAGCGGGCGGGCCCCGTCTTGGAGATGCGCGAGAAGTTCTCGGACCAGCAGCCCCTTCTTCGAGGTGGCGGAGTTTTGCAAACACAAGGACATGCACGACCAGCGCCACTGCAGCCAGTGCATCGCGGTCGACGATCCCGAGGTCGCGAAGTGTCAGAAGATGGCGATGCTCAAAGTCGGGGCGGCGCAGCTTCAGGGATCGGCTCCTCGCGGCGGGCTGTGCCGCGCCCTGCAGCAGCGGATGAGACATCGGTCATGAATGCCATCCTGCGGCTGACGGGGCGCGGCGGACAGGCTTCCTCGTGGCGGCCTCGGTCCGCGCCTGAGGCGGCAGGCCTCGGAGGCGCCCCGCCTCCTCCTGCGCCTCGGTCGGGGCGCCCGCCTGGCCGCGGCGCTCGCGAGGCGGCGGCAGGCGAGGCCGCGGCGGGCGACCGCGGTGCGCGCGGGCTCGCGGCCTCCCCCATCGCGCGCGCGTAGGAGCAACGAGGGCGTCGGAGCTTCAAGTTTTTAAATGGGTCCGGGGGGCCGCCAGAGAAACCGACCCATGTCAGTCAAAATGGGTCGGCTTTCGTCTTTTAGTGTTTTTGTGTGTTTGATGTGCCGGCCGGCCTATCCGCAATTTGGTCCTGGGGGGGCTTCACGTCTTTTCTTTTTCGGCCCGAGGCCCCCTGTTCCGTCGCTCGATGGGGGGGCTCTGCATGTGCGGCGGCGCCTATCGTACCTGGCGCCCAGGCCGTCCGATGATGACATTCGGTTAGTCGTCGATTCCCAAGAGAAGATGGGAGACTATGGGAAGTGCGGGAAGACGATCATCCAGAAACTATGGGAAATATGGGGAATCCTGGGGCTCGTGTGTTTTTATGTGTGCGTCCCTGGGCCCCGTCACATGTCACCTCCCACTCCGGGCAAGCGAAGCCGTCCTTGAAATCGCTGTGGCCGTCAAAGGCGAAGTCGCCCGCTGCCCTCAAACCGACGGCCGCGACGACCTGCGCAACCAGCTCTTGACGGGGCCGCGACGGCCGCGACCTGCTTCAAAGCGGCGAGCAGCTTCCTCACGGTGCGCCGCTGCGTCGATCAGCGGAGCCTGGTGCCTGCATTGCAGGGCGTGCCCACAGTGGGGGGAGGAGGAGGAGGAGGAGGAGGAGGAGGAGGAGGATGGTAGGAGGTGGAGATGAGGAGGAGGACGGAGGAGGAGGAGGAGGAGGAGGGAGGAGGAGAGGAGGAGGAAAAGGGGGAAGAAGAGGAGGAGGAGGAGGAGAAGGAGGAGGAGGAGGAGAAGGAGGGGGGGAGGAAAAGCAAGAGGAGGAGGAGGAGGAGGAGGAGGAGGCGGACCAGTGTAAACCCAACCAACGATGTTGCAGCAATTCGTTCCGCCAAGTTCTCTCGTCACAGGTCCGTGCAAGGGTTCTTTTCGCTTCGGGCAGAGCGCGTTCTGTGACAACCGTATGAAAATCCCTGATCCGTGCCAGAATACCATTCTTGGGGCTTCAGCTCCGCGATCCAACGTTATTGGTGTGCCATGGCGATCCTGAATTGTGTCAGAACACCATTCCTGGGACTTACACACTGCGAATCAACGTAATTGCTGCGCCCTGACAGTCCTACATCGTGCCGAAATACCATGTATGAAAGGCCAACCATCAGAAATCTTGAACATGCTGTAAAATGTTAAGACGAATGCGCGCAGCGTTAAGGCGAAAACCATACTTTGAAAACGCAATGTTGCCCTCGATCCCCGAAAAGTTTGCGAACCTTTTAAGACGAACGCGCGCTGCGCTAAGGCGAGAGCCGCATTTTGAAAACGGCCTGCCCTCCAGCCGTGAAACTGGTGTAAAGTTCCAGGTTCTGGATTATAATGGTGAGGAGTCTCAGGCGAAACGCCCGGCCCGCCCTGCCGACACGTCTCGAGGTGTGCCATGGAGGAGTTGTGCGTATGAAAAGGGACGGAGGAGGGGGAGGGGGAGGAGGAGGACGAGAAGGAGGAGGAGGAGGAGGACGACGAGGAGGAGGAGGAGGAGGAGGAGGGAGAGGGAGGAGGAGGTAGGATGAACTGCTAGGAGAGCCGAAGGGATGTAGGAGCAGGGAGGGGGGTTTGGTTGGGGCGGATGAGGGCGGGATGGGGGATGGGAGGAAGCGAGGGAGAGGGAAAACAGGGAGGGAACAGAAGGAGGAGGAGCACCAGGATGAGAAACGTTCAGTGAGGACCAGAGAAGACGAGGACGGCGGAGGTGGAGGTTGAGGTGGAGGTGAGGGTGGAGGTGGAGGTGGAGGTGGGGGTGGAGGTGGGGGTGGTGGTGGGGGTGGTGGTGGTGTTGGTGGAGGAGGAGGAGGAGGAGGAGGAGGGGGAGGAGGAGGACCGTGACCGTGAGTGAGGAAGGAAGGGAGGAGGGGAGCAGAGGAGAGAAGAAGACAGCGGAGGAAGTAGGCAGAGGACGCGGGGGGATGGGGGCGGATCGAAGAGGAGAGAGACGGAGGCGCGCGGGAAGCGCTCCGAGTCCACAGTGGTGGATGCGCCTCAGCGCGCTCCCACATACAGTCGGGGCCCTGAAGAGGGAACCCTTTTCGTTGGGGAGGGGCTCCGCGTTCCTTCAGTGTTTCGCAGCTTCCCTTGGGTTTTCCCCAGGTTTTCGATGGGAAATCGAAGTTTAACTTGTGGATGAAAGGGGCCTCGTTCCTTATTTAGGGTTCCTTAGATCAACGCCTCGACTGTAGCCCCCGGGCGCCCGCCAGAGGAGAATGACGGCGACATGGACAAGGCCATGGAGTGGCTCAAGAAAAAGGGCGCCGCGCCGCCCGACGCGTGCGTTTCGCCCTCCTCGGTCGTCCTCCTGCAGCGGAGACCCGTGCCAAGAAACACTCTGCTTGCCTCCATGGTGCCCTGGGTTGGTTGGGCTTCGATGGTTTTACAAGGGAAAGCGTGACGTCCCCACACCGAAAATGAATAGACGTCCTGGGTTCTCAGGGGTGGGTTTCTTGTGGAAGGTTTCTTGTGATCGGGCCCCCACTGTATGGTCAGTCGTTATTGCGGTTCCCTCTGCCGCGTGCAGCTGCCGCTGGCTGCCTGCCGTTAAGCGGAGTTGGCCGCCGCAGCTGCAGCATGTTGGATCGAGTTTAGCTCGTGCCAGTGTTCGCTGAAAGGCCGCGCGTGCCCTCGCGTCTCTCTCTCTCTCTCTCTTGGTCTAGTCTGCTTCACGGAACTGACTAAGCATGGCGTGCAATGTTAGGAAAGCCCTGCCCGTCGGCCCTGCTGGGATCGCTGGTGGTCCAGGCGGAGATGATGGGTTCGTTGAACTACGAGACTGCATGGGGCAATGCAACCACCAACATACCAAGGATATGACTTCACCTGCCACAACTTTTTGGACCCGCGGGCGCCCAAGGTATGCGAGAGACAGTCAGGCGCCGGCCAAAGCGAACGGTAGTCTGCACCAGACGCTAATATACAGGCACGAAGCGAGAGAGCAAGAGACGAGAGCAGAAACAAAGATCAGGCGGGGCCAGGACGAGGATAAATCCGTTCCAAAGCGTTCCGGAACGCTCAGAAGGCCGCGGCGCCCGACACATTCTCCAGAGCCGCCGGATCTCAGAGAGTCTCGATTTATCCGATCCCGATTTTATCCGTAAGGGCTTCGCCCCCTGCCGCCGGCCCCCTCTCTCGGATAATGGGCTTTGCAAGAGCTAAAGCATGAGGCCTCGGCGCCGCCGTGAAGCAGCATCGGCAAGAGAAATTGAGATTATGATGATATTGTTGAACTCAGTGTTGCATTTTGAACCTGCCCCCGTATGCTGTGCACTGGGGTTCCCCAGAGAATTTCGGACATGTGGCGAATCCCATGGGTTTTTGGACCCTGACCCCGCTGATCTGCGTGATGGGCGCCGCCGAATTTCAGAAATGTGGCAAATCCCACGGGTTTTTCTCGGAAGGAGCGCGGGCCCAGGGGTATCTTTTTGGTTGGTAAACTTCAGGAGGAAAAGAAACACACAGACACAATTAATCCTCGATTCCCAAGAAAATATGGGAAAATATGGGAAGTGGGGGGGGAGACAGAAACCCAGAAAATATAAGAAAATATGGGGAATCTTTTTATTTTGTGTGTATTTATTTGTGTGTCCTGGGGCCCCTTCATACTGCCCCCCGTGCCATGTTGGGGAAGGGCCGGCGGAATTATTCCTTGATATAAAGATCGAGGTCGGGAAGGGCCGGCGGGAACGCTTGTTTTCAGGGTCACGATCGATAATTTGCAAGGTGCGGGCCCCTTTTTCGTTCGTCGTGGATGTCTCGAGCGAAGCGCTTGTTCCGCAGAGTTTGCCAAGGATGTCTCCAGCGAAACGCTTGTTTTACATGCCCAGGTCAGGCCCCAGGAGTACACAGAAGGGCCCTCTCCAGGAGTGCGAATCCGTATGTTTCTACGTATGTGCCTATATATTGGTCCCCTCTAGGGGTATGAATCAGCACAGCGCGGCACAGCACAGCACAGCACGCCACACCATCGATGTATTCTTCACTGCTACTGCCCATCACCCAATGCAGGTGTCTTAATGTGCACCTGGTTCGCCGCGTTTCTGTCCGTCCATTGTCGATGCGTTTGGCTTCGGTTCGGATTGGCCCCTCTCGCTTCGTCCCGCTTCGGAACTGAATCGGATCTCGAGCTCGAGCTGGTCGAGCGCCCTGCGAGTTTCGACTGGGGCCAGCTCTGGGCGAGCCACAAGTTGAGGCAGCTCGAGTTTAAGATCCAAATCAGTTCGGCCAGGAGACGGATGCCAAGGACGACTTGTTCCACAACGCACAGCACATGTCAACGCAGCATGACACATTCCAAGTCAGCACAGCACGGCACAGCACAGCCCCTGGCACAGTACATCGCCATCGACACCTTCAGCAATGCAAGTGCCTGTCGCCCAGTTCGGTGTCGTGAGCACGTTTCCATGGTTCACATGCCTATATTCCTTGCCGGGTTCGTGGGTCGATCATGTCGGACCCTGACCCCGCCGATTTGCGTGAGGGGTGCCACCGAATTTCAGAAATGTGGCAAATCCCAGTAGTTTTTGGACCCTGACTCCGCCGATCTGCCTGAGGGGTGCCGCCGAATTTCAGGAATGTGGCAAATCCCATGGGTTTTTCGACCCTGACCCCGCCGATCTGCGTGAGGAGTGCCGCCGAATTTTAGAAATGTGGCAAATCCCATTTGATTTTGGACCCTGACCCCGCCGATCTGCGTGAGGGTTGTCAATTGCGACCCCCCAGAGCCCCAGAGATTCTGAGACCCCCTCCCAGGAGGTGCTAACCAGGATGCTTTTCGGCTCCCCCCCCTCGCGCGGTCTACAACAAGGTACAGTAAGCAACAAGAAGCAATACTGCAACAGTGGAAACTGGAACTGGCGCAGGGAACAGCAAACCCTTCGCCTGCAGCCTGGTGGCCCCACAAGGGGGCCGGCGGATCCTCGTCCTAGCGTCGTCTTGAAAGACGGGGCCGATCAGACCATGAAGGTCGGCGCGGGCGTGCCGGAAAACCTGGCAAACCCGCTGCTTTTGCTACGCTACGCTACTCCCGATCGACCCGAAGGCCGTGCCAATCCAGGACTCGGGGGAAAACGGGCCCGTGTCAGCGGCACCTGGGCACCACGTGATCCTGGATTCTCCCTCAAATCCTCTGTTGAGCATTTGCTGAAGGACCCCTTCGCGGTCCCTCCCAGTCGACGCACTCAGGTTGGAACACTTTTGATCCGCGGGTCGAGAGCGCACCTCTTCCGGTCGAAGCTAAGCGGGCCGCGCGAAGCTCGAATTAGGCGGAGAAGAGGAGGGAGGAAGCGTTCAAGCTGGAGCACAAGCAGAGAGCAGTCGCTGTATAGCCAGGAGGGCTTGGGGGCGCAAGGCTCCTGCACACCCCGCAAGCTGAAGTATTCGTGCTGCTCCGTGGCGCGTGCCGGCGTCCCCCGAAGGGCCCCGAGCAGCGGACCGCAGAGCGGAGGTCTAAGATCGGACCGAGGCGGCGGAGGAGGAGGAGGCGGAGGAGGAGGAGGAGGAGGAGGAGGAGGAGGAGGGGGATGATGAGGATGAGGATGAGGATGAGGATGAGGATGATGAGGATGAGGATGAGGATGAGGATGAGGATGAGGATGCGGGCCTGCGGTGCATCCTGCAGTCGGACCGAGGTCTAAGATCGAGGTCGGCTTGTGTTCTTCGTTAGGGGAACAAAAAGTGGCATAAACATTAAAACTCGGACCTCAGAGTTTTTATGTTTATGTCACTTTTTGTTCCCCTATTCGTGCTTGTTGGACGTTATTGTGCATCCTTATCGAACTCCTTCCATTACTCGCAAAGTGCCTGCTCGCAAATGCCCAAAGAGCAAGTATTGTTCGATGCAATGGAGCTTGTTTGCCTCGACGCAATGGATCCAGGCCATTTGCGAGCAGCTACTTAACGAGTCGTGAAGCGCGCTTGTCTAATCCTGGGGAGGGCACCCTTGGCTATTCTGTGCGTTTTGACCGACGGAGGGTCTCGTTTTCTTGAGGGATGGCCTTCTGGCCTAGGTCCGACTGTATTCTCTTGCGCAGATGTGTTCCAGAGCTCGCAGCCCTTGATTTCCATGGCTTCTCCGCTGGTTCTCCCTCAGGCCATTGCCCTCCTTCCCTCCCTCCCTGGCTCTGGCTCAGGCCTCCCCAAACCTCGCCACCCGGCTCCGCTGGCCTACAGGGTGCCCTGGGTTTCTTGGATTTCGATGGTTTTACGATTGAAGGCGTGATCGTTGTTCCCCCCATCTTTTCTCCTCCTCCGCCTTCCCCTGGTATTCCTGCTCCGCCCGCTCCTTCCACTCCAGTTCTGCTGCTGGTGTTCGTCATCGCCCTCATCCTTCCTAATCCTCCCCCTGTTCCTCCTGCTCGTCCTCCTGCTCACCCACCACCACCTCCTCCTTTTCCTCCCTTTTCTCGTTTTTCTTCTCTTCTTCCTCCTCCTCCTCCTCCTCCTCCTCCTCCTCCTCCTATGTACGTAGCTCCCCTTTCCGATTGCGAATAACATGATAGGGTCTTATTTGGAAGTTCCAGGTCGACAATGACACGCGTCCACGGACACCGAACCAATCAGCGCAATGGGAAAGGATGGGAGGGAGGGATAGCATGTCAGATATGGCGGGAGCGAACCTATCAGTGTTCCTCCTATATCCTCCTCTCCTTTCCCCTCATCATCATTAGCAGTATCCCCATCATCCTCATCACCACCACTATTACCACCACCACCACCACCATCATCATCATCATCATCATCATCATCATCATCATCATCGTCATCACCCTCACCACCAGCAGCATCACCATCATTAGCATCATCATCATCGTCAGCATCACCATCACCATCATCATACTATGGCTGTCTTTAGGGCGGATTTAGGTTGAGTCGGTTGAGTGTTTTTGTGCTTTGATGCCGACGACGATTGTAATGATGGTGGTTATCAAATCGTAGTGCTGATGGTGGTGGCGATGGTGATGGTGATGATGGTGGTGCTCATCACATCCAGAATCACCATCATCACCATCACCATCATCACCATCACAACCGCCCTCACCATACCATCATCACCATCCCCATCATCATCATCATCATCATCATCATCCTCATCATCATCATCATCATCACCATCCATACCATCAGCATCGCCATCACCATCACCATCGTCACCATTGTGGTCCGTAGGACTTGGCTCAAGGTAATGTCGTCGTCCGCTCCTGCGGTTTCCCCGAGCCCTCCTTCGGTTTCCCCGAGCCCTGCGGCCTCCCCGAGCCTT